ATACATGTCTGTATTTGCATGATGTAATATTATTGAAATGCTGTTGTTGTGATGTGTATGCTTCTTTACGGTATAATCAATGAAGCTTGGATGTCTCTCTAGGTTTTATAAGTATTTGGACTTGGACTGATTTATCAGTTTGAATTATTGCTTGTAAAGCTTCTCTTGGTATCTAGAAAGGTGTTAATCTGCATTGGCCTGGCTAGGAGCTTTATAAGGTTGATGTTGGGCTTTCAAGAATTTACTGTGATTCAGTTTTTCTTGTTATTTTTCTCTTTCTAAAAGAAAAAATTTATGTAGTAGAAGTTAGTAATTTTTGTAAAACTTACCTCTTCTGTACTCTATAAAGAGTTCTTGAACATGTTTTTGTAAGTTGTTTAGTTGTAAAGATAGTTTCTCTTGTTTTTGTAAGTTGTTTAGTTGTAAAGATAGTTTCTCTTGTTTTTTGGCTGGTTTCTCTTTTTCTCAAAAAATTACCAAAAAAGAAAATTTTCTAAAAAATTGGGAATTAGCAGAAAGAGTTTTTTTATAATTTATCAATTATTTATTAAATCTATTTATTAAAAATTCAAACTATTTATCAAAATTATTCATTAAAAATTTATTAACTATTAATTAAAAAAATTAACAACTATTTATCAAAACTATTTATTAACTATTCATTAAAAATTTAATAATTATTTATCTATTATTTAATAAAAATTTATAAAATTTATGAAAAATCATTTATATTTATAAATTATTGAATATTATTTATTTTTTTTTTTTTGCATACCCATAGCTAGACTAGATCATCAGTTTATTAATCAATTGAAAACAAAAGTACATCTTCATTTGAGCAGTATGATACATACTACAACCAAATTATTATTCTAATCTAATTAACTCGTCATAAGCATAAAAGTCTCTAAGTTTAGCCTTGGGAACAATATTTCGCTTCACAGTATCTTTGAATAAAGACCCATCTAGTCCACTACATTATTGCCAGCAGATTGTTACTGCTGTATATTTGACCAAACCGCTGGAATACAGGAAACTGCAAAAAGATAGGTTAAAAGAAGGAGAGGGGGATATCTAAAAATTTTTAAGTAGATAACAAGAAAATGAAAGAGTAAAGATTAAAAAAATATTTCCAGCTTCTTTCAAAGACCTGCTTCTCAAGATCTCTTCTCAATAAGAAATGCTCGATTGGAATATCCTTTCTTTTCCTAACCATCTAAGGAACTTATCTATTCTTAATCTTGATTTCCTTCTTATATATCATCTGAGGAAACTTATCACCTAGTGGGAGCCTTTACTTCCAGGACACTCTTGGTCCCAACCTTCTTTGAGCAGTGATTTTTTATTCACCTGTGATAGAGAGACGATTTATGATGGACCCCAGGTTCTTATGTAATCTAGTAAGGACTAGGTCATGTTGTTTCAATGTAATACCTTCCAGCAGCCACACCTAATTAAAGGAATTTTAGTGATATATATCTTCTATTACCCAAAAGGCCAGATTTTCCAATAATCCTTTTGCCTTGTAATAGTGAAAGAGTCTCAGCAATGGTGGGAATTTTCATCGATTGCAATATCCTTCAATAACTTCTGAAGAAATACATTCTCAACTGTAACCAAAGAGTTGGAGCTTAACATGGACTAGAGACTATTCAGTCTTATTACCTGACTGGGATAAAAAGGAGACCTTGGTCTTGAACTTTACCTGACCAAGATGATAGGAAAGAAAGATCCCAGCTTGAAAAAATAGCAGTTTTTTCATTACCTGAGGACTTGTTGTACATATCTTATTGGTCTTATAGTACTTGATCTGTAGGTTAACCTAATTGAAGAAGTGGGGTGGACACAGGACATTAATCAACTCTTTCTATTACCAATGATGTCATCAGAACACGTAATATGACCAGTAAGTACTTGTTTATATTCAACTACTAACGTGTTTTATGTCCACCAATCATATTTTGAAATAGAATTTGTCATTTAAAATTCAGGGTCAAACTGAGGTAGGCAAAATTTCCAGAAAACCAAAAAAATTTTGGGCAACTATAAAAGGAAAGAAACAGTGGATAGACACTTTGAAATATAGCTTGATGTTCACCATCTTCCATTGCAGAAAATCTCTATAGACATGCTTCAATATAAAAGACTTCAAATACTATACTATTAGTTTTTCTTCCTTTCAAAACTTTCTTGCTGTAGGTAGAAAAGGTGTTTCTTGACTTTTCTAGATTACAGGAAGCCAAGTTTTTGTTTGAAAACGAATATAAACAAGAGGAGGAGTTTGAAAGTATCTTTTAAAGTAATACTTTAAGTTGGTTTAAGAATAGTATTAAGACTTTATTAGCAAAGAAATAAAAAATTTCTTGCAAATATCTTTTTTGTGTGTAAGCAGAGGATCAGTGGAAAGAGTTTCAAAATATTATTATTGAATATTATTTATATAATAATACATAATTAATTAAATTATAATAATACAAATTAAATATTATATATTATATTATAGTTTGTATTATTAATAATTTATAAATATAACTTCAATTCAAAAAAATTTACATATAAGTTTATCAATTTTTTTTAATAAATAGTTATAGAATTTTAATAAATAATTTAATAAATAGTTGATAAATAATTTAATAAATAGTTGATAAATTTTTAATAAATAGTTGATAAATTTTTAATAAATAGTTGATAAATAATTTAATAAATAGTTGATAAATTTTTAATAGATAATTGATGAATTTTTAATAAATAGTTGATGAATTTTTAATAAATATTTGATGAATTTTTAATGAATAGTTTTGATTGACAAATCGTTAATGAATTTTTCGACAAATTGTTAATAAATTATGAATATGTCAATTTTTGTAATATTTATAGTTAAGTTATATAGTCACCAATTTATTTATACCATTTATTTATCAAATGTTACATGAGTGGCAGTATACCGAATAATTTTTTTTTGACTAGTATTATTAACAATTTGTTATAATAGAATATTTCAAAAATTATAAATTATAAAATTAATATATTGAAGAAGAGAAAAAAAAAAAATAAAAAAAAAAATAAAAACAATTTAAAGTCACTTCAAAAATTCTTATTCAAAAAAAACCTTTTCTGTTTATTTATAGTATAACAAAAACATAGGATTTTAATTGGAGGGTCTCAAATATAAGGATCTTTTCATTTGAAACATTTTAGATTACGTACTTCATTTCAATTTAAAGATCTTGATGATTTGATTCTCCTGCTTACTATAGGCGGGGTATAAGACCCACCGCAGTATAGTATGCGAGTCTAACCTTTGATTTGTCAATCACATGAATATAACTTTTTTTGAATCGCTGTCTTGCCTTAATAAAAAAAATTATATTAATTAAAAATTAAAGTTTTTAATAAATACCTATTTGCCTTTTTTTTTTGCATTTTGTATTTTTTTGCATATACTGTATTATATATTTTCTATATTATTTCTTATATGGATAAATGCTTTTATTTATAAAAAAATTGAATTTTTTAATTGAATATTAGGATTCTATCACGGAATGGATTAATTTTATTTTTGGCTAAATAATTTTATCTATTCTAATTATTACGTTTGTTTTATATACAGTAATTTAGTAAAAAATTTCGAAATGGAAACAATTATTTGTTCGCATATGATTAATTTCAATGTACAAAATAAAATTCATATTATATAATTGTTTTAATGATCCGGAATTGCGTCTAACTATAAATTAATTTTTTTGATTTTAAAATACGGATTCCGTATTAAAAATTAATTGACTTTTGACTTTTTTACACTCGCGCTCACCTAATCACAAATGTCCGATTATGGTAATTTTTTTCGGAGGCTAGAGCTTGGGTCGGGTCCTTATCAACATTGAAATTTATCGTTAGCATCGGATTTTCTTGATAGGCTGAAAATTTCGAGCATTCTCTTACAACCAAAATGCGAGAATTTTTTGCATTGTGTGTTATAAAGTGAAAGAAATCGAATTACGCTAAGCGGATCGGAACTTGAGTTCCCTGAACTACGAATCTTCCAATCGAACCGCTTCACATGAAAGGAATGCGTGTTTGGTGTCACAGGCGAATTTCGTAATCCTAATTGAACACAAGCAATAATTGAAACGATCGCTAAATCTAGACTTATCGGCGACGAGTTTAAGCCAAAAAATAATCCAAAATTTTGCAACAATCCGCAAAAGAAAAAAAGATACAGCTCGCTGCACCAGGACTTGTTCCGATTGGATTATTTGGAGATAAGTCAAAAAATTGGACTCAAAAACCGCAGAAGTTGATTCGGGACTGTTTTTGCTGCGTGAAATGCTGTGCATCGGGGAATTATTAGGCAAGGCATAATTAAAAATGCCGTAGATTCGTTCTTTTCACGCCAAAACAGCTGTGCCACTATCTATATAATCATTCGTTTAAGCATTTCACGTAATACAGCGTCATCTTTCACCTTTGTTTTGGGATGTGGTGCACCCGGAGTCTTTTTTTTTTTTTTTTTACCAAGTTTGATTGAATGGACATTTGAAAGTTCTCGCAAATTTGACGTATTCTGTTATTATACATTACGTGGGCGCATTTTCTCCTTTATTCATTGTTCTGAAGAATTATTCAAGAATAGCTACCTATTTTGGTTTAATATGAGGCCCTTAAGATCACCCAAAAGCATGCGCTTTTCAAGGTTGGTAATTCAGAACTCTCATTGTAGAAAATAAAGAGGGAACGTCACACAATCAGTAAATAATTGTATAGCGTGCATACAAAATTTGTTATCCCTGAAATTATTCCGTTCCGATTAATTATCTTCGATTTTGAGGAATGTAAACATTGCACCAAGCGCAGTTGATGCTACGCGTCAATAAAAGGTCTTTAAAAGGAAAATAGATTTGCTAGACAGTATACAATTTGAATCACGTGAATAGTGCATAAAGACAATTTTATTTTTTTTTTTCAATCGAAACCTTGTCCAATCTGCATTAGGCATATTTCTACGAGCATTGACTTGTATGACGTTCAGTTGCATTTCCATCATCGACCGGCCCCTCCTCCCCTTGCATCATGGCCGTAATCTCCATCACTCTCGATTGCCTCACCTGCGATCCGTTGATTGACAAGTTATTATTAGCAACGCTAGACCCCGGTGAGGTGTTTGAACCTTCGCCGGGTTCGGATAATACTTCTTCTTCCTCTGGTGTCTCATATTTTGTCTCCAATAGTTTGGTATTATATCCCTTACAGATGGGACATTTGTGATATAAGAAGTGATACTTCACAGTACTTCGTTTCTCACAATCATTGCACAATATGAAAGCGAGGCAATGATCGTATTCCGAAGGCATCTTTTGCTCCGCGACAATAGCATCGATGCGTCGAAAGTAAATTTCCATGTTCCCGATGGACTTCCAACACGTGGGACATTGATATGCATTTGCTATGTATTCTTCGTAGCAATTCATATGCATGCTATGCCCACATCTCTAAGTCAAAAAGTACATTTCGTAATCAAAAAGCGCGCGATCGGAAAATTTCGAGACGGCATTTCTACACTCACCATAATTTTTGCACCGACAGTGGCTGTGAACAGGAATTCACCGCAAATTACGCAGTCACGCTCCAAATTTTTTTCGATGCATTTGTGTGAGTCTTTCCAATCAATACTTAAGCAACAATCGCAAACCTCGCAATGAAAATAGTCAATACCCAAACCCATACCTTTGCGACAGATGCCGCATGCATCACAGTGGTAGATATTTTTATCGGGTGAATCATCCCAGAATTTGCACTTCTCGCAATAATATCGCGCCAATTCGCGAGAGCAATAACTACATTTCTGGTTAGTTGGTTGAACTGTTTGGCAATACATGCACATCATGTTTTGGGTGACGTGTCTGAGAGGTGATGGAAAAATCTTTGTCAAATCATTGAAATCAAAAAAAAAAAAAAAAAAAGATGATAAATTCACTTCATGCCTGTCAATCTTGTGATCACACTCCTCGTCATGACAAAATCGGCATGTGAACCACCTTTTGCAACATTCGGCTCGTAGCTTTGCCCCTCGAGGGTAATGCTGGCATCCCAAAGTTTGCGATTGTTCGCTCTTAAATGAACAGAAGCGCGTATTTTTTTAATCGATTGTTTATTCTGATTGGTGAGCATATCGCGATAAGAGTCTTACCACATAGGTTGGCTTCAGTTCCTCATCCGATGGCTCTCCGTTGTGATCAGAGGATGACCTGATGCTGCTCTTCCTAGATTCCTCTTCCCTTCTCCTCCAATTGCTTGTCATTAAATCCTGCATCGTAGGGAAATGAACGATATGTGCTCGTGCAAAACGAGAAAATTGCAAGAGTCTAATTTAACAAACTACGTTACTTGAATTTTCTGAGCTTTCTCTTCGGAACCAATGTTGAGGTCATTCTGGATACCAAGAATCACTTTTCTTAACTCATTCTGAAATTCCAGATCGACCTCTACCGATGTGTTCGATGCCTGTCCTGATCGCGCGGAACCTTCACCAACCCGATCGCCTTCACTTTCTGCCGTAGTTACCTCATCTAAGATCTCGTTGACAATCTCATTTTGATCTGTTTTGAAGTGTACGGCAATAATTGGATAAATATTGCCTTTTAAAAGTATGAAATTTTACATGAAACTCACGAACCGGTCATGATGTGTCTAACTTAAAAGATTTGTTAATGGAACTTCACAAAAAAAAAAGTTGTACAACAATATATCCGCAGCAAGTCAGAATTGAATGATAAGCGGTTAAATTAGTGCCAATCAGCTTCACGGAAATAAATCTAAACGGGGCCTCATTTTTGCCGATGGTGCACTTCACTGGATTTTCCGCGATGCCCGATGCACCATCGTTACCATGTCGTTGTACACATAGTTATTTATTTATTATTTTATACTCATCGACAAATTATATAAATAAGAGACTCTTTGAAATGTTTATTTTTTGGGGAATAATTCCTGGATTCCGATTGTTTTCTGTCCATTTCTTGAATTCCCTGGTCCTCTCGATTCGCGGATTCTCAATTATCATATAAGACCTGCATATTTAAGGGTCGGTCTTCTACCGATCCATGATTAACAAAAAATTTTTTCTAAATTCTCAATTCTCCAAATAATTAAACCTAGCAAGCGAATAGGATAGTAATAGTTAAAGATGTCGATCAGCGAAGCCGAAATAGACTTTGCGGTAGTCGACGCTCTTCCGCAGAGTGATGCAATCAAAAAAGACTCGGACGAAGGGAAAGGGAAAACGGAAACTGTCTCACCTTCACAATTATTCCGTTTCGCTACTCCCGCGGATTACTTCTTTATGATCATCGGAACTGTTGCCGCGTTAGGTTCCGGAGCTGCCATGCCAGTGATGACCATCATATTTTCCTCATTCATAACTTCGTTTTACGAGTTTGAATATGCTAAGAATACCGGCATCGGCATTGACACTGCTGAAAGCACTCTTAATGATCAGATCAGGACGAAGGTGTTCTACTTTATAGCTTTGGGTTGTGGCGTTTTTGTTTGTTCATATGCACACATGAGTTTATGGATGACGTCAGGCGAGAGGCAAGCCAAGGTATTGTCGTCGACGCGCGATAAACCCTACTTCATGCTATTGCTGAATTTAATTTTCTCCACCTTTATCAGCGTACCCGTGAGCTGTACTACGCCGCAATCTTGCACCAAGACATTGCTTTTTTTGACGATGTTTCAACTGGTGACGTCACCACGCGTATCGCCGGTGACATTAGTGAGTTTTGAATAATGTTTGACTGCTTTTTTCGTACGACATCACCCAGTTCGATTAAATGCGCGATGCTCTTCTTTCTTTCCAGGTTTGTATCAAGAAGGTATTTCCGAGAAGGTCGGTTTGATCATACAATTCATGGCCACTTTCTTTGCGGGGTTCGTCATTGCTTTCACAAAAGGTTCCTGATTTTTATTTAACTTTATCACGTGATTAAATTAACTGGTTTGTCACAATGTGTGACAAAGTGATCTTATATTAACGTTGAATTATTTTTCCAGGGTGGAAACTTTCGCTGGTCCTTTGTGCCGGTAAATATTTAACGAATCATTCTTTCGGTGCAACTGACGCGTGAAACGTACGCGACCGAGATAACCGAAATCTCCCCCCTTTTTTTTAATCTAGTTTTTCCCCTAATGGCCATAGCCGGTGGAATAATGGCTAAAGCGATATCGAATGATACCTCGCAGGGTAAGTAACAGGTTAATGTGTCGGTTTGTCTTTTTTTTAACCTCTGGATGATAACTCTCTTTTCAACTTCTCAACATGATCGTTAGGTCAAGGTTCGTATCTCGCCTTTGTTCTTCGACTGGTTTCGTGTTGCACGTTCAGTTCCCCTCACAATGCATTTCATCGTTTTCTTAGACGCGTACGCTTCCGCCGGAGGTGTGGCAGAGCAAGCCATCTCGGGCATCAGGACCGTCATCTCTTTCGGAGGGCAGGATCGCGAGATTAACCGTTACAAAGCCCAATTGGAGGGTGCCTATAAGGCGGGGAAAAAGAAAGCGATTGTCAGTGGAATTGGCCTCGGAATAATGATGTTTATCATGTTTGGCAGTTACGGTTTGTCCTTCTGGTACGGTAGCATCCTGATCGTCCATAATGAAATGAGTGGTCCGGATGTGTTAAATGTGTTCTTCGCCATCCTTATCGGCGGTAGGTGTAACTTGAAACTATATGCTGCGCATCGATCTCGCACTTGATTGACGCTCATCTTTTTTTTGTTTGTTCGTTTTCCTAAAAAAAAAAAAAAAGCCTTCTCCGTCGGTAACGCTGCGCCTCACATCACTTCGGTCGCAAACGCCATGGGTGCGGCTGCCAAATTATTCGCTGTTATCGATCGCGTGCCTCCAATCGATTCCTCCAAAGAATCTGGCAAGAGGCTATCCAGGTCAGAAGTTCAAGGCAGAATTGAATTTAAGAACGTTGATTTCTCGTATCCGTCACGTCCCGACGTCCAGGTCTTGAAGAATTTCAATTTGGTCATTGAACCCGGTCAGACTGTTGCCCTGGTTGGTCCTTCGGGAAGTGGAAAATCAACTGTCGTTGGTTTACTGGAAAGATTCTATGACGCAGCCAACGGTAGCATTACCTTCGACGGGGTGGACATCAAGGACATCAACATCAAGTCATTGAGGACACAAATTGGTCTCGTCGGTCAAGAACCAATTCTCTTTCCCGAGAGTATTAAGCGAAATATTATGTGGGGAGGTGATCCATCGGAAAAAGAACCAAACCTTGAAGACGTTATCGAGGCTTGTAAGAAGTCCAATGCTCACGAATTCATTAACGAATTGCCGATGAAATACGACACCTTGGTCGGTGAGAAGGGTGCCTTACTCTCCGGTGGTCAAAAACAAAGGTAAATGTTGATTTTACTTTTACGCCTGTCAAGCGTTTACAGTTTGTCGTGAGGTGGGTGTCCTGACTTAATACGTTACTTCGCGTTGTGCGTAGGATTGCCATTGCTCGTGCGTTGATCAAAGATCCGCCAATTTTGTTGTTGGACGAGGCGACTTCGGCTCTCGACAGTGAAGCTGAGAAGGTCGTGCAAGACGCATTAGACAATGCATCAACGGATCGTTAGTACCAATAAATTTTTACCATCTGGAAGTTCGGGATGGTTTGCATGAACTAATCAAACTTTATCGTCGCCTACAAGGTACATCAATCGTAATCGCCCATCGCTTATCAACCATTAAGAATGCCGACAAGATTGTTGTGATGTCTAAAGGAGAAATTCGTGAGATCGGTAGGCATGACGAGTTGATCGCCAAGAAATCAGATTACTACGCGCTAGTCAAAGCTCAGGAATTGAAGACAAATTCGGCGAATGCTGAGAGTGACGAAGATGAAGAAGAGTCGAGCGCCGACAGTTCGCCCGACGATGACACGGCGATTTTGATTGACGAGAAAAGACACAGGTTACACTTGCATCGTGTGACTACTAATGCGTCGACGGTCAAAACCATGAAGACGGATGAAGAAATTCGCGAGGAGGAGACGATCAGGAAGTCAAAAGAAAAGATGCCCCTTGGGAGAATCGCTAGACTATGTAGACCAGAAATTATACTTCTTTTTATCGGGATAGTCGCCGCCTCGGTCAACGGCGCTGTGGTAACTAATTAATTGTTTTTTTTTTTTTCTTGGTGATTCGTCCTTGTAAATTGGCATCGATTTAATTATTCCTCTTCTTGATTGATTTTCTAGATGCCTTTATTCTCATTGGTTTTCTCATCGATCATGCAAACTTTCTCGAGAACTGACGAGTGCGTATTTTCATTTTTATTTTTTACGTTAATTTGACGTTTAACGATTACGGGAATATTAATGAAAATAACATAAAACGTGTGCAGGCCTGCTAAATTGCGACATGATGCAAATTTCTGGGCTGGTATGTTTGCGGTGTTGGCGGTCGTCAGCTTCTTCGCAAATTTCTTCCAGTTGTCGATGTTTATAACGGCCGGGGAACGTCTCACAAAACGTCTTCGAACTTTGACATTCACGGCTCTCATGAAGCAAGAGGTCGCCTATTTTGATGACGAAAAGAATGGGACTGGTGTTTTGACCTCGAAATTGGCGGTCGACGCATCTAACGTTGAAGGTAAGAATATTGCAAACTCTGCATGAATTAATTTCAGATGCTAATTGGAGGAGTTGTTCTTTTTTTTTTATTAAAATGACGCAGGACTCACCGGTTCTTTGATGGGATCGATCTTTCAAAACGGCGTAAACTTGGTTTTAGGTCTGGTGAGTGAATCTGAAATTTCGAGTATACTTTGATGAATTTTGCAATGGAAGTAAACTTATCAGACTCATCTTTTTGCTTAGATTATTGCTTTTGCATACGGATGGAAACTCACTTTGGTGATTCTTGCCGCATCGCCATTTGTCGCAGCCGCTGGATTTTTGGAAATGAAGACTCTGGCTGGCTTCGGAGCCAAGGTATTTGACGCCTTCATTTTGCCCGTCATTTATCCCTAATGGACACACATCTAATCAGGTATATTGTATTTCCTTAGACTCGAAAAGCTTATGAAAATACGGGACAGATCGTGCAGCAAAGTGTGTCCAACATGCGTACTATCGTTTCTTTGACTCGCGAAAACACGTTCAAGGAAATGTATTATGAAGCCATCAAGGAACCCCACAAGATAGCCGTCAGGGGTGCCTTATTATCAGCAATTGGTTTTGGCAGCTCTCAAGGATCCTTGTACTTCATTTGGTCTCTCGCTTTTTGGTATGGTGCGCAATTGGTTAAAACCGGAGAGTATTCCTTCGATCAAATGATTCACGTCCTATTTGCTGTCATATTCTCAGCTATGGCTGTTGGTCAAATGAGGTAAGCGGAGTGTCTGTCCAGAAATCTGGCAAGTCTGATGAAAAATTTAACGTTCGCAATTTTGATCAGTCTTCACCCTATTTTCAATAACTATTTCGTGTTTATCAATGTTTTAACTATCCTCGTCTGCATCCACATATGTGCGTGTGTTTGTTTGAAAACAAAGCACTTTCGCCCCGAATGCCGCCAAAGCAAAAGTTGCTGCAATATCTATCTTCGAAATTCTCGACCGTCCGTCTGCAATTGACCCGTCCGATAACGAAGGCAAAGACCGCCCTGCACCCGTTACAGGAAACGCAGATATTCGCGACGTACACTTCAATTATCCTGCGCGGCCGAATGTTCACATTCTCCGTGGATTTGACGCGAAAGTTTACGCTGGAAAGACGATCGCGCTGGTCGGCCCGTCAGGATCCGGTAAATCGACGACTGTATCACTATTGTTGAGGTTTTATGATGTTATTGCCGGGGAGGTTGACGTCGAAGGTGTGAACGTGAAAAATTGGAATGTTGAATATTTGAGATCAAACATGGCACTTGTCGGTCAAGAGCCGGTGCTTTTTGATTTGACAGTTGGTGAGAATATTGCATACGGAAAAGAAGGATGTTCACAAGAGGAGATCATTGAAGCTGCAAAGAGCGCAAATATTCACAACTTTATTTCAAAATTACCTGATGGTTATGACACAAGAGTTGGTGAAAAGGGATCCCAGTTGAGTGGTGGTCAGAAGCAGGTAATTTCGAAATTTTATTTAGCTATCTTTTTTTTTTTTAATAAAAAAAAAAGATTCAAATGAATTCATATGCTTATCTCTCTCTACAACATAGAGGGTGGCAATTGCAAGAGCCATAATTCGATCACCAAAAATCTTGTTGCTTGACGAAGCAACATCGGCATTAGACACTGAATCTGAGAAAGTCGTTCAGCTTGCTTTGGATAGAATAAGCAAAGGTCGAACAACGCTGACCATAGCGCACAGATTATCCACGATACAAAATGCAGATTTAATTTTAGTGTGCAAGAAAGGCAAAATTGTTGAAAGCGGTACACATCTTGAATTGATCGGTCAGCAAGGATTGTATTATGAATTGGTCAATAAGCAAACCTTGTTTAAGAAAAACCAAAACTGACGTCATTTTTCTAAGGTTTATTGATTATATTTATGGGAACATTATTAATGCGTATATTTTTTAGAATTCCAGTAATAAATAAAAATTATAGACATATTGAGGGGCTCGGGATAGTTGCCCGGCCAAAAATGAATCTAATATAATCTTTAGAAGAATCATTTACGCGTATAATTAATATTTACTTAATATTATAACATTTAAATAAAGTACCACTCGACTTTACATTTACGAATAATGTGTATTACGATTATTTATTTAATCAAAGCCTTGCATGTTATATTTATTGAGAAAATTTAAATACAGTACATTACTGCGATTTATTACCGTTGCGTGGTAAATCGGGGCTTAGAAACGAATTTTTTATTCGTAGGTATTGACGATTAATCTTTTGATTCAAAATTTGATATTACGATAAGATTATAACATTGCATTAGCATATACATTATTATAATAATAATAACGAAAAACATTAAATTCCTTATATAGTTATGTATTATGTTTAAAGTTATATTTTAATTCTCGTTATAGTAAATTCTTGATATAATTAAAATTTTGATATAGAATGCTCATACGCGTTAAGCTCGATATAAAAGCATGTGATCGTAATTGCACTTAGAATATGTAATTTACGATATAATTACTAATATCTTTAGAATTAATATTTAACCTTTATATGAAATTTATTAAATCTTTTTGTGATAAATTCTAAAGAATTCATTTGAATTCGTTTTGTTAATTGCCTTTCGAAATTTCTCATAATAATAATAATAATGAGTAAATACTTTAAAGAATATTTCGATGAAAATTAAAATTTCAATAATCAATCTGATAATTATGAAAATGATATAGATAATATTGCGCCCTCTTTTGCTGAACTAGGAATCGAAGAATATAATAAAAAAGATGAAGTTATTTGTCAAAATGTTCAAGAATCATGGGAATTTTGGCAAAAAAAAAATATGCACTTGTAGAAAAAACAAAAAAAAAAAAACAACAATCCTTGCTTTGAAAAAATTGGATTTCAAGACAAAAAGAATGTCGAAATATGTCTCATAATGTCTTAGATACTTGGATTAAAGGGCAACTTGCATCATTCACATATCATGAGTTATCATCACAAAACAACAATTTACAAGAAATAAATAGTTCTGAAACGGCTTAAATATCAGTTACACCTTGTATTCAATTTATGACTTGGGCATCTGATCTATGTAATAAATGTAAGTAACTTCGTACCAAAATTCAAGCTACTAGTGATATTAAAAATAAACAAAAAATTCAAGCTGAGTATGATATTCATCGTATAGTTAAATGGCAACATTATAATGAAAATATTATAATTAGTAAATAACCAACATCTATTACTATACATATCTGTTATGACTGAGCTCAAAATGTGCCAATTCCTTATTTACCATGACAGTTTGAAGGCTTATTTTTTGAATCATTGTTTAATATTTATATTTTCGGAGTTGCCAACTCTAGTTTAGAACCAATAATATGAAGAAATTATTTAATTGAAACATCAATTATCAATAAAAACATCTAAAGGTGTCGTTACTACTTTTAATTTAGCATATAAAGTTTACTTGATTGAAGTCTGACACAAAGACATTTAAAAATTACATATGATAATTGTAATTGTGAAGGCTAGAATAAAAAAAATTATACTTTTTGATTTTATTCATGGCTTACTATGATTAAACATTTTGATATAGATAAACTTAATTTTATAATTCCTGATCATACTAAGTTTCTTTGCAATTTATATTTTAAAATTAAATTTTTAATATTAAAATATAATATTATAAATATAGATCATATTGAACAATTATTAATTAATCAAAAAAAGATAGAAGTAATATGGCAGTTAAATACAATAAAAATAATCAAATAGAATGAAATATTATAATTTAAAACTTTTTTTTCACCTTATTTTGTTAAATATAATAATACTATATATAGGCATTTTGATGTTTTTTTCTTTTATTCTAATAAATATGAAAAAGTTTTTATATCATTAAAATCTAATAAATTAAAAATTGAAACTAAAATTCAAAATAATCTTTATTAAACAATTTTTTTAAAACTTTTGTCTTTTAAATATTAAATATATTTATTTAAAGAAATTTATCTATATACTATATACTATATATTATTCTTATAAAAATGAATTATTTTTTGCTTTAAATGAACATAACAATAAAGAATAAAGAATATTGTTATATAGAATTTTTTTTATAATATATACAACTATTGTTTTATAAAAATATTTTCCATGTGTGGATTAATAAATTTTAATGAATTTATCAAGATTTATCAAATCTTAGTATACTGAATTTAAGATGAAATTTATTAATTAAGGTTTATAAAAGATTAGTTATAATAATTAAACTAATAGAATGAAAATATGAAGAAAAAAATTACTCTGAATCTTTATCTTTCATTACATTTATATAAATATGTATATTATTATAAGCTATTGTATACATTTTGCTACTTTTCATTTAAAGGATGAATAGTATATTAAATGGGTTTTTAAACAAATTTAACATTCCAAAGTAAGATTATAATAAATTTTTAATATAGATTCATTATCTAATAGTTCTTAAAATATTGAAATCAATTTAATGCAAATATTGATAAATAATTATTGAATTATTAATCTAATTATGTTCTATTCTAATAATCAGTAGCTTGAAATTTTAAATAATTGATCAAATATTAGCTCAATTTTTTGAACTACTGTAGATCAGTTTTTGACTAATAAGTTATATTGATTTTTAAATAATATATATAATATTTATGAACAATTATTAATAGATTTGAATATTTTTCAGATAGACTTTTACATTTGAAAAAATCAAATTTAGAAATATCTACTGAAATATTAGATCTATTAGTCAAATACTATAAAGTATTTTATGAAACTATATATTTTTTGAAGATCATTTATAAAAAAAAATAAAAATTTAATAATTATTTAGAATAGAATAGATCAATATAGTAAATACTGAATTGGAAGTGAAATATTCAATTCTGTTATATCCTTATGAAATATTAAGGACTTATTTAATTAAAATTAATCTTTTATTAATAAAATAATTGTTTATAAGTTATTATTATAGGTTATTTAAAGTTCTATTAGCAACTTTAAAATCTAACTATTTGATTTTCTTATAAATCTATATTTAATAATTTCTATAATATATTTATAATCTTCTTTTATAGAATTCTTTTGATCTAGATTTTCTAATATAATTAATATAATCTCTTCATAATTTTGTTTCTTTTAAATATATATTCTATATTAAAGTTTTTTTATTTTTTTTTAATAAAATATAATTTCTTTTTTTAAATTATTACTTTTTATATAATTTATTTATTTTTTTTTTAACCTGCAATTATATTACAATAACTTGTCTTTATTAAGAAATTAAAATAAAATCTATAATGATTTACAGATTTTCATAAAACGATTAATTTATTTTTATATATAAGTACTTTAAATCAAATTTTGAAATCAATATTATACAGTTGCTTCCAAAAGTTTAAGTCCACTTACTATATTTTTATTATAAATTTCAACTTTGACAATTTTTAAATCCTTAATTATACAATCAAAATTATAAAATTCATATATATTATATCTTAATACTAGTTTTATTTATTATATTTTTTTCAAAAATTTTTATATGTAATTTTTAAAGTTTT